ATCATCAAAATTTACTAAAAATGAGTGCTGACCTTAATCTAAATTGCCAGATAGTAATAATAACATCCATTGGACCCTCCCCCTATCATACCCTGCAGGTCTACCTACAGTGCATCAGTTTAGAGTTTTCTGGAATAAACTCACTGAATATGACAATGTGTTGTTTTTGTCATATTTTACATATCATCCAAGAAAAAAAAATCTTCACCAATGTAAACAATACAATTTCAGTTAGATCCACTTTGTACCTCGCCATCTCTTCTTTCCAGTTGCTCAAAACGGACAAGGGACAAAGAATCAGAAATGGTCCTTCATCATTTAATCTTCCTGCCAAGTAAATGAAGAGAGCGATAGTCTGAAACATAGAAAAAGAAGGCAGTTTTGATTGCATTTCCTCATAAGAAACAATCACAAAGTTCCCACAACCCTGTAGGGAATACAAACTCTTATGTAAGACTTGCTTTACAAAGAAATAATGTCCAATCTTCCACACATTAGGAGAGTAATCCATTCCTAGAGTGAAATCATGTAAGCCTCAATATACTTGCCACAGAAATTTATAGTACTCAATTACTTTGAGTTAACAAGCAATGAAGCTCAATATTTAGGTAACTGAACCTCTACTGCAAAGAAAAAAGTCAGGAAAGAAAACAGAAATCAATGAAAATAATGCAACTGATGGACAAGGTCAGGAATACTCTGAAAATACAAAGAAAGAAGGGCCAAGACTGTAAAAATGACCAACCACATGGAGGCCCTCTGTTGCTCGCCAGGCTCTCCTGAGGATGTTTTCCTTCCCTCCTAACTTCCTCCCTCCTTTCCCGACTGTTTTCCTTCATCCCATGTATATCTACACAGCGTCCTCTATTTGCTAGACAATGTTCTAAGCTCCAGCTATACAACAGTGAACAAAATAGATGAAACTGCTAGCTCTCCTGGAGCACGCATTCTAACAGGGAATACAGACAATAAACAATCCTCCTAAACTTAAGTAAGGGTATAAAATGAAAAATCTTTGTAAAGGCAGATGGGCATACTGCAGGAGATTCTAGCACACGCTTTTGACTTGAAAGTTGCTGTGACAGAGAAAATAACACTCTTTTTTCAAACAAAAATGTGTTAGGAGCCTCCATCCTCAAATGCTGAGTGATTTCTGAGATAAATCTATTCTAAGGATATAATTGAAAATCCTAAAAAAGCTACATGCCCAAAGATGTTCACATCAAGATTAATTTACATTGAACAAAAAAGGGGGGAAATCACCATTTATCATAAGTAAATTACGATAAATTCTCTTGATGGAATATTATGCGGCTAGTTGATAAGAATGATTGAGAAGAATAAAATGGAAAATAACAATGATGGTGTCAGATTGACAAAATACAAACTATACGTGCCCTATAATTTCTAACATGCAAAACAACGTTTCTACTAATGTTTGTGGTTAGAACACTGTGACTATAGGGTGGTGGTGAATTTTTATAACGAAAATAGTTTTCTTTTTAAATTGTCTATGGCTTCCCAGCCCAAACCATGCCCAGAGCAATCCTTTAATAAATGACTTACTAGATTAAAACCATTCTGTTTAGCTTTCCCTGAGGATGCAATTTAGAGAAAGTTTTTCTTTTATTACCATAAGCCAGATATGTCGACAAAACAGATTTGGAGTCACTGGTGAATTCTACGAAACATTTAAAAAAGAAATGACACCAATCTACATAAAGTCTCCCAGAAAATTGAAGAGGAAGGAACACTTCTTAATTCATTCTACAAGGCCAGCTTTACCCTAATGCTAAAACCAGACAAAGACATTACAAGAAAAGGAAATTACAGACTGGTTTCTTTCATGAACACAGATGCAAAAATTCCAAACAAAATTTTAGCAAAACAAAAATTTTGCTAAAATTTGTTTAGCAAAGGTGGTATATTTTTAGGGGGCTTAAAGTAGAGCTATGCAAACAACCTGGGGAAAGAATAAGTAGAATTTACTGGCTCTGAATGAAGTCAGTAGGGCAATTCCAACGACCAGGGCAAAGGAGCACCCTTTCCTAGTGCAAGAGCCAGTTAGCCTGGATCCCAGAAACACCTGCAAAACTGATCTTTGTTCTGGCACCATAGGTCTCAGATCAGGAATGTATTATACTAGGACCAGATTTGTTTGCCTGAGAAAGCTGAGGGTGGTAAATGAGGTTACCTTGGGACACTCTACTCTGAGGTCACAATGTATTCTGAATAATTCCAAGATTGGTAAGGTACACCTGGCTTAAACAGTCTCCAACACATAGGCAGACTGGCCTCTGTGCAGAACTGCTACAGCTTAGTGTTTCTGGACACAAGGTTAGCCTTGGTGGGGGCAGTTGAGCTTCCAAAAGGACTAATGAGACCCTTGCTCATTCTGTGTGTTCACTGACAAAACCTTTTTGGGATTGGGGAATGTATCTGCATGGTTTCTAATCAAGTTGCCTCTGCTGTGTGTCCTTATTGCACTGACCTTCTTTGGTAACCTGTAGATATGTAAACCTTGTGTGATTAACTCAAGGGGTGTCTGTGACTGGACTCTGCATCAATCCAAGCCCACCACTGACCACTGACATCTGTCGGCCCAGGGCAATGCTGGTGCTTCCTGCCAGAAGCATCAATCTCATTATACCACCTGCTTGCAGCTGCCCAAGGAGGCCACGTCTGATTCTCCAGGTCTCAAGACTTTATCCTACTTCCTATTAAGGCCATTAGATGGCCAAGTCATCTTGGAAAATATAGGGTACTTCCTCTGTACTTCTCTAGCACAGAAGTAGCTGTACTCCCACGGAGGAAGGGCGATTAACATAAGAAGTGATCCAGTTAACTACATAAAGTATTGCTAACGAGGTTCGTCAATTTGATGCCTGGGCAGGTATACTTGCTTTACATAGAGAAAAACTCTGTCCAGGCCCATTAATTGCAATTCTAACTCAGGCATGTCTTTTCACAGACATATGTCAAAGGCCAGATGAGATAAGGGTAGTGACACAATTCAAAACTATCCTCACAACTAGAAAAATTAACTGCAAGGTTGCAATCTCTTAATAAAGGTTCAGGCATTTCACCTCCTAGTATAAAAATGTATATTGTTGCTAGCAGCTAAGACGGGAATGCGTTGTAAGGAGGCATTTCTGTGGAGGTGAATAGTGGCTGTCCCACAGTAACATACTTGGCAGGTCTTCCCCAGGCCCATCTCATCTCCCAGGATGCAGCCATTTTGACGATGGAAGCACTGGGCTAGCCAGTTGACTCCCTCCAGTTGATAAGAGTGCAGATGAATCCCTAGAAATAAAAAATACAGCAAATCTGAGGAGTAGACATTTCAGCATTTACATAGGCAATGTTCTAAGGCTTTGAATAAAGAACATGGCTTAAATTCCCATAACTCCAAACCTTATTGGTCAAATCTCTTGCTGGGAAGTTATGGATATGTAAACATCTGCTAACTTCCAAACTACTTTTTGAGCAGACTTAGTCAACATTATATTCAAAGTCCTAAAACAGCCTGTCATTGTTACCTGATCTACTTGACAGATGAGAAAGTCATCCTGGGATTTGGCCTCCATACTGCCCATGTCTCACAGTGTCCATTCTGGGAAATGAGGCATTACTGATGGAACTTAACAACAAACAACAACACATGGACTGTACATGTGTCTGTCTGCTTAACTGCACCGACTTAAATTTGCTATTGGTGCTAAAGGACAAAACTGAGACAGGACTACACTAAATAATACTTCAACAGAGGAGTGTTAAGAATGGAAATGATGCTTCATTAAGGGTGGTTAACAGTGTACAAGGATGGCAGAAAATGTCTGAAATCCAGATGGAGGTTCTGCAGCCTCTCTTTTCTCTTTCCCTTGGGAAAAAAATCCAATTTCAAAGAATAGCCATATCTTGGGAAAACAGAAGACCCTAACCATACTCTATATAAGAACTATTAGCAAAAATATAACTGTAATTTAATTCATGATTTAAAAAAACTATATAATATATAATAATTGTAGAATATTACAAAATGAACAATAGCTATTTTTCTTAGGCGCTCACTAAATATCAGGGAAAGTAATGAACACTTTACATAAATTACAATATCTCATTTAATTCTTATAACAATCCTATGCAGTAGGTACTATTCCTATTTTATAGATTAGAAATTTCAGATAGTCAAAGAAAATTGACATGTGAAATTTGGAGTCTTCTGTTTCCAGAAAGATGGAGTGTATGTTTTATTCCTCCTGATAGCCCCTGGGGGTGATAATACAACACAAACATAAGGAGACTTTGAAAGGTGTAGTGAAGAAGCAGACTGGATAGGAACCTCAGGACCTGAGGAATGACAGAGTAGTAAGTTCCCTGGGATTTCTTTTCAAGAAATCAGCAAACAAGAAACACCAATTGGTGTAGACCAAACAAACAAAAAAACAAACACCCAACAAAAGCCTGCTCCTGCTAGAAAATGGCAGTCTAGCAAGACAGAAAACTTTCAGATAATAACTGCTCTATTCTAGCTGCCAAACACCACAGAAAAAAAAATCTGTGGCCCCACCCACACCAGCAAAGTGGGAAGCACAGATTTTTACGCACTGGTACAAGGAGTTTCCCCAATACCCCAAGCAGGTTGCTATAAGAGAATGCCAAGTAAGGAGCTGGGATTTTTATCCCCACCCACCAGTTATGAGACCCTCCCCCTCCACTTTTGTCTCCCCCTGCAGTATCAGAGGAGACCATGCAGGGAGCCAAAACTCCCACCCTCACCCAGCAGGAAAGAGGAGCCCCTTCCCAATCCCCAGATTCCCAATCACCCCACACAGGCTGAGTGGGTGAGCCTGGACTTCTAGCTCAAAAATGTCCAGGTTCCAATTAAAAATCATTTATCACACCAAGAACTGGGAAGATTTCAAACTGAATGAAAAAAGATAATCAATAGATGTCAGCACCCAGATAACATGATGTTAAAATTAACAAAGATTTTAAAGCAGTAATGAGAAAAATGCTTCAACAAGTAATTATGAACACTCTTGAACAACTGAAAAAACAGAAAGCCTCAGTTAAGAACAAGAAAACCTCAGCAAAGAAAGAAAAGATGTAAAAAAACAGAATGGAAATTTTAAAACTGAAAAATACAATAACCAAAATAAAAAGTTTAATAGATGAGATCCGTAGCAGAATGGAAGGAAGAGAGGAAAGAATCAGTGAACTGAAAGACAGAACAGTAGAAATTACACGATCAGAGCAACAGAGAGAAATTAGGCTGAAAACGAAGGAACCTCAGGGAACTGCAGGACTATAACAAAAGATCTAACGTTTGTTCATTGGTATACAACAAAGGAGAAAGGACAGGGCTGAAAAAGTACTTAAAGAAATAATGGCCAAAAAATCCCCAAATTTGGCAAAAGACCTACATATTCAAGAAGCTGACAGAACCTTGAACAGAAAAAAAATCAAAGAAATACACACCAAGACACATAATTATTAAAACTGCTGAAAACTAAAGATAAAGAATAGCTTGAAAGTAGCCAGAGAAAAACAACATCTTACTTATAAGGGAAAACTATTTGAATCACAGCAGATTTCTCATCAGAAGCCTCAGAAGCCAGACAGATATGGCACATTTTTCAAGTATTGAAAGAAAATAACTGTCAACCCAGACTCCTATAACCAACAAAAATATTCTTCAGGAATAAAGAGGAAATCAAGATGTTCTCAGATGAAGGAAAACTAAGAGAATTTGTCACCAACAAATCTAACCTAAAAAAATGGCTAAAGGAAGCCCTTGGAGAAAAAGGAAATGATAAAAGATGGAACCTTGGAACATTAGGAAGGAAGTGAGAACACAGCAAGCTAAAATATATGTAAATACAACAGGCTTTCCTTCTCTTGAGTTTTCTAAATTATATTTGACAGTTGAAGCAAAAATTATAGCATTGTCTTATGTGGTTCTAAAAGTACATAGAGGAAATATTTGAGATAATTATGTTATAAACAGAGGAAGGTAAAGTGATATA